GCTGTCTGTGCAAATAGTAATTTTTATATTTTTCTTCCTTTGACTTATCCAGTTAATTGCATGATCTATTGCTACCAATTCTGCTTGGTAATTTGTGCATCTTTTATCTAACTTGATTTTTTTTATGATACTGTTCCCTATTTCTATAGTAATAAACATACGATGCTCCCACTCCTTCTGAGGATCTCGATCCGTCCGTATAGATTCTGTATTTATCCTGATAGTTGTATTTCTTTATATGTATTTTCTCCCATTCATATCTTAATAATTTTTGATGTTGTTTCATATCTGCTTCTAGCTCGTCCTCTTTTTTCAATAAATCATTATGAGTTTCGTTTTCTTTTAATATTTTTCTTGCGTCACTATGCTGTCGAATTTCCAAATCCAGAGGCATTAGGCCCGCCAGTACACAGAGTGCATCGTAGGATGTAGTACAGTATGCACCAGTAATTCTTAATAGCATTTTTCTTTGTAGACTATTTATTTTCTGTTTCATGTGTGTCAACTTCATCCTCTTCCCCCAAATTTGGGCAGCATATGTAACAATTGGGATTACAGCACCTTTATAAATATGTGTTAAAGCCCTTCCACCTATACTCCATTCTTTACGTGCTACTTTCGCTATTTCTTGAAATAAGTTACCCACTTTTTTCTTAATTGTTTCTAGGTGTTCATTCCAGAAAAGTTTGTTGTCTATTGTTACTCCTAAATAGTTGATTTGGTTTATACATTTAATCGATTTATTTTGCATCTTAATTGTGGGTTGCCTTTTTGCCACTTTGCATGTTGTAAAGGCTATGGCGTTTGTCTTCTCTGCATTAAATTTAAGTTTGTTTGCATTTCCCCATTTCTCTATTTTTTCCAGTATATTTTTGCATTTTATTTTTATTTGTTTTCTGCTTTTTGCCGAACAGATGGCCATTATATCGTCAGCAAAAGCTGTTATTTTTGATTTTGATGATGTGTTGATTTTCAAGAGATCATTTAATATAATTGACCAAAAAATGGGTCCAGAACAGGATCCCTGTGGACACCCCATAGTCATGTCCCTTTCCATTTTTACGTCTGCATATTCTATGTATGCCTTTCTGTTTGTTAGATAATCACATATAAAACGATACAAATTGTTTGGGCAATTTGCCTCCTCTAATTTAGCATGGATTAGTGACCACCATGCGTTATCAAAAGCACTTTCTATATCAAGACTGAGAGCAATTGTCCAGCCGTTGTTTTTCCTCCCTTCTTCGATATCTTTAATTACTTGATTTTCGTTAAACCATTTGTTTGAATTTAGCCAAGTTGTAAGACGATATACTATTAATTTATCCAAAACTTTTCCCAGAACAGGAAGGAGAGAGATTGGTCTATAACTTCTTACTTCTTTTCGATCTTTGTTTTTACCTTTATAGATTGGTAAGATTTTCGCAATTTTCCATTCAACTGGGAAAACCGCAAATTTTAATCAAGTGTTGTATAATTCGGATAGAAAATCTGGCTCTCTGTTATTTATTTGTTTTACAATTTCTATTGTAATTAGATCATGTCCTGGGGCTTTCCCTTGTTTAAAGTTCGATATTACCCAAGATATCTCTTCCTTTGAGAATAACGGAACATTTTCACCACTTGTTTTGTATTGTAAACTTTCTCTTAACTTTTTTTGCTCTCTGCTGTTTTTATTTTTATCATCTATTTTAACGAATTCCGTAAGTAATAATTTTAAGCTCTCCTCTGCTGTAGCAGTAACAGATCCATTCTCTTGTTTAATTTCTGTTAACTGAAATCTTCTTCTTAATTTCCCAGCTGTGATTTTATAGATCAAACCCCAGGGGTCTCCAGTACTTTTTCACAGAATTGTATCCAACTCTTTTCTTTACTTTCTTTTATCCTTCTCTTATAATTTTTCTGTTCCTCTAGATATTGTTCTCTAAAAATAGTTCTCACGATCTGATCGCTACATTTTTGGTATCTCTTTCTTTTTGCTCTTACTTTACTTTTTAATGCTTTTAATTCAGGAGTCCACCATTTCACTATTTTTTTCCTATCGTCGTACAGTGGGATATTCCTTTCAATTGATTTTGTTATTATCTGAATTAACTTCGTAAGTACTGCTTCTGCCTGGTGGCGATTTTCTATATTTCTCAAATCCATCTTTGCAGATTTTAAGTCTTTCATTATTCTTTCCCAGTTAGCTCTTTTTAATACTATTATTGTGAATCTTCTGATCAATTTCAAATGTAATGTACAGTACCTATGTTCAGATAGACTCGTTTCATCACATACTGTCCATTTATCAACCTCATTTATCGCTCTATTATTTATTATTGTTAAGTCTATGTTTGAACTTCCATTTGAGCTTTCAAACGTGCTTGGCATATCTGGTTCGTTAAGGATGAACAGGTTTTGTCTGTTTACAAATTCTTCAATTTCGCCTCCTCTAAGGTCAGAGTTCTCATCAAACCATACATACGAATGTGCATTGCTGTCTCCACCTAATATCATTCCGTGACTTTGTTGGTATCTGCTGCATATTCTGTCTAAAATTTCCAAATGGGTAGTGATATTCACTTTCATTGGGAAATAGAAATTGCTTACTATCCATTTTTTATTAGCATTTAAAAGTTCAATCGTGGTCATGTATTGATTGCAATAACCTGTTAACAACATACATTGAATATTTGGATTATTTAGGACAATAATAGTCCACGGGGTTTCCCCATCGCTGTTATATAGAACTTGGGTTCTCAAAGGCCAACCCATAGGTTTTCTTTCCCGACAATACGGTTCTTGGACAAGTATTATATCATAGTGTTGTAGTTTATCACCCACTACCTGTGATACAGCACTAATACTTCTGCCTAGATTAATTTGCAAACATT